CTATCTTAGAGCTAAGGGACAGTGACTTGTCCGGGATCTTGCTGACAGTCACACTCGCTGCTTCTCCTGAAGGCAGAGCTATAGATGAAACATTTACTTTCAAGAAGAAAACACTGCAGCCGGATTGGATAGAGACCCGGCAGAAGGTTTCCATTTTGTGTGCCTACTGGGTGAGTTTGCGAAGAGAAGGCCCTATGATTGCATTCATGGATCTTGTTCCTGAAGGAGGAGGAGGATGTGTGTAAGAATAATACCCACTTTCCTGGTGGCAGAGGCCAGGAGCTGGGCGTTTCATTCGTTCAGTTATTCACCAACTATTAAGAGTCTACTGTGTGTCAAGCACGTCCCTGGCTGGCACAGTTTGCCCTTGACCGCTAACCTAAAGATTAGTGGTTTGAACCTACTTAGTGGCATTGTGGAAGAAAGGTCTGGTGATCTGTTTCCTTAAAGATTGTTTTTGTTGGGTGCTGCTGAGTTGATTTTCGACTCATAGCAACCCCATGTGACAGAGTAGAACTGCCCCATAGGATTTTCTAGGTTGCAATCTTTATGGAAGCAGATTGCCAGGCCTTTCGGAAACCACAGAGCTCCCAGGTGGGTTCGAACCACCAACCTTTCAGTTAGCAGCTGAGCGTTTAACCATTGGGTCAAGAAAACCCTATGGACTTCTGGGCAACCTGGCGCTATAGTCAGAAGCACCATGCCGTCCCTCTGCAGCAAAGATCAGAAAAACTAAGTCAAACAGAGTCACGTCAATCCTGAAACCCTAGGTATCAAATGAAGAGATAAAGAACTCAGCCAAGCACCGAATGGAATAAGAAACTGACCGAGAACAGAGAGCGAGGAGAGATACACGCAGAGGTCTCCTATCAGCTACCGCAACACGGATCCACCATCTTGGACCCCTGTTGGAAATCAGCGAACAGGGGGTATGAGAAAGTAGCTTCACGGAGCTTCCAGCAGGAGACAGAACAATCGGTAACCAGTGATATGCGCTTTCCCACCCCTCACCCTTCTTCACCCCCACTCAACCTCCTCTGCTTCCTGCAGCCACAGTCTCTTGGCTGGGAAGCAACAGTTTCACCCCAGTGTCACTTGGATTCCACT